TAGACTACCAGCTTGACCCCGGTCGGGGCTCTATCTATCTATCTATCTATCTATATATATATATCCAGGAGCTTCCTTTGTTATGTTTATTTCGATCCTTTGGGGTTTTGCTATTGAAATCTTGGAAAGCGGCTATATTTCAAAGATCGGCCATAAATCCTTAAAAGCGGCCATTTCCCATAAATCACAGTTGTGCTGGCGATGCCTCAACATTTCAGCGTCAAACCGCACCGTTTCCATATATTGGACCCCGCGAGGTGTGCCTGTGCATGTTTGTTTGTGCACGCATGCCCAGCCTCACCCATGAGTACCTGAGTTCAGGGCAGGTCGATCCATGTTTGGGTGCATTTTGCATCCACGGATGCTGGAGGTCGGGTCGGCTTGTTTGAGACCGTTCAGTGCGCTTTGCAAGATTGCATGAGGATTGCCATACACATGTTGGTTTCTCAATGACTCAAGGCTCGATCGATTCGTGAATCATGTGCACATGTTGACATTCCTATGTATGCGCACACGTGCTACCACATACATCATGCATATATGTTGGACGATGGATTCCTCAGAAACTGCCGCCATGGAAACTGGCCCTCTGTGCCCTGTGATTTCGGGATGGCGAAACAGCTCTTCGGTGATGGCACAGCTTCTGAAAGATAAACTTGTCGTACTACAGTACCCGTCCCTGGGCAGAGCCTCCTTAGCGGACAATATAGACCTATTGGCTCCCCTGATCAGCACCGTGGGATTCTTGGTTTGAACTTGATCATGTATACACTATAGCAGTAGATCTATCCCTAAAGCTAGCTGATTTCTCACCATCCCAGGAATGCGACCAACTGTGCCCTTGATCGCCGAGTACTTGAAGCGATTTTACAATAGCACTTTGCCAGCTTCCCGAAAGGCACCGACAGGCCAGCATACATAAAGCTGTAGCATCATGAGCATGACCATCCTTGCAAGAATTCATACTCGATTTCTGTCAGGCAACGAGCTGCAAGCCCAGGCTTGGGTTATCAGAAATTTGATAACAATCTTCGCCAAAATCGCGAAACGTCCACATAAACCCCGGTGCGGGGGAATCTGCGAGCTTTTCAAGAAGTCGGGGCTCCCTGTACCTTCAGGCACCTGGGCTCAATTCCTTACAAGCCAAAGCCTATAAACCCGATAGCTTCTTAAGCTAGCTAGGTTTGCCTACTCTTATAAGCCAGCTAGGTTTGCATAGGACCCCGGTATTCCAATCCCCTAGCGCCATCGGCTTGCCATCCAAGGTGGGACATCGAGCAATGGCGATGATGCTGAGGGCTCCTCCGCAGAGGGGTCCGCTTCCGATTGTGATGGTGAGGAGGGTGATGATGCCGAAGCAGGGGGCGAGTCTGAGGAAGTGGAAGATGACATGGTGGTTGATGCAGTGCCTGGTGGCGATCTAGGAAGCCACCCAAAGCCAAACTCCGAAGAGATCGTGCATCCAGAAGCATCGACAACCCCGCCTCCAGAAGCCTCGACGACCCCGCCTCCAGAAGCCTCGACAACCCCGGCCCCCGTTGCGAGCTGTACTGGAGCAGAAGCTTGACTGAATATTGACATGCATGCATGTACTATGCATGGTACGTAGTTGTATATACATGCTCGTACATTTATATAATGATACTGCCTAGGAGCTGGATGCCACGAGCCTTGCAAAGCTTTCACTACCAGGCCACAATCTGTATTTGCAGATTACAGAAGCCCTACAACCAATATAAAACCACCCGGCCCGCAGGTGTGATTCCCCGGACAGTTCCCTCGGAGTCTTCCTCGTCGGTGATCGTAACGCCACCACCCAAAGGCTTCCTGGTGGCACCTGTCATGGACTTGAGAGCTCTGGTTTAGTTTCATGCAATTGAGTTTCCGAGGTTTGCCGTATTCTCCTCAGAGCGAGGCAAAGAAACGTGGGAAGCATTATTTTGTAAAGGACAGGACTTATGGCTACCGCTGCTTGAACTGCGATTGTGCAAGCCAGGACCTAGCTGTTCTGAAGGGCATTCAGTGCGAGCCACCAGAGGGTTCGGAGGCCAGGGTTGAGGCCACGACTGATGCTGAGCTTGAGCTGGAGAAGCTACGTGATCTCGAGGCCGAGGGTTATCAGCTTCAGGAGTTGCTTAAGTTTGAACAGCAACAGCTGGAAGAGATGATGCTGCAGCATGAGATATACGAGCTAGAGAGACAGCTAGCCCAAGAGGAGCATGAGCTACACGAGGCCAAGATTCGTAGCCTAGAGGATGCCGCACGTGAAGCAAGCAAGAGGTCGCTGGATGCAGTGTTTGAGCCAGCAGCAGAAAAGAATGCAGGGCACGTGGACGCAGCAGCATCAGCAAGGGATGCAGGGCACATGGATGTAGCAGCAGCAGAAGCAAGGGATGCAGGGCACATGGATGCAGCAGCAGCAGAAGCAAGGGATGCAGGGCACATGGATGGAGGAGCAACAGAAGCAAGGGATGCAGGGCACATGGATAGAGGAGCAACAGAAGCAAGGGATGCAGGGCACGTGGATAGAGGAGCAACAGAAGCAAGGGATGCAAAGCGGCCTCGCATTGAACAGTCCAACACTGTACGGGTCAGCGCTGTGGCTGGTTGTGGGGATGCCGAAACCCTAGCAAAGACTGTGCTGCTTGGTGGGCCTTCCATGCCTTCAGTTGTTGGACGCCTAGCTTAAATATTGTGCTGCATATGCTTCGAAGCTAGGTCCTAGCCTTAGCCCCCTTGATCTTCAAACACACGCCCAGGACCTGACTGCTTCGACACAGTGCCCTATGACATGGAAGACGTCGGCCTGCAGAACGAAGGCTCCGGCGAGGGGCACTGCCTGACCAGCGAGGTTTCAGGAAAGGCGGTGCTTGCACGTCTGTCTTCGACTGATTGTCTGGGTACCGAATCTGATGGTGCAAGCCCTGATGCTGCAAGCCCCCGCACTCTGCACTACGAACCCTCTGAAGCGGACTTTCGGATTGAAGCTGGCTAGCTTATATGTGTCATGTAGCATGCATTTCTGTGCTGTATGCATGCACTGCAAGCATACCTAGCTAAGGACGAGCTACATGATCACGATCCCAGAGCAACCGGGCAAGTGCCGCCCGAACCCGTCAAGGAGGTGTTGCCTCCCTGCCCCGACGGCTCCAAGGTTGAACCATTGTCTCCGGCTGAGCAGACTCGGCTGAGCGGGGCAAAGGCAAAACCCAAAGGCAAAGCCAAGGCTTCCAGG